AGCTTAAACGCAGATCTGGGGAAAAAATCATCCTGGAAATAATGATTCTTCAGTGAAAATGGTAACAAGTCCAGGAAAAGACTATTATCAGCCCAGAATACATCACCAAAGTGTTGATTGTCCTAAATCCACCTGAGTGATTTAATGGGTAAAAAAAGCAAATTATGGAATGTTTAGATTGGATGGAAATAAAAACAAAGAGAGGACTTCACAGGTGGCCTGCAGTTCGAGGTCAAAGAATGACAGAACAGTTTGAATCACATAGTTTGACCCCCATTTGTCTTAATTAGGACAGCATTAAAAATTATCTAATTGCTTACTGGTTTGATAATTCACTAACATGCTTCACTTGGTAACTGTGAAAGAGGCTTAAGTGGGACGAAAAAAAAACTCATACAAAGTCTCTCTCCATTTCTCTCTCTCTCTCTCTCTCTCACTCTCTCTCTCTCTCTCTCTCTCACTCTCTCTCTTTCTCTCCGTCACTCTCTCTCCTCTCTCTCTCTCTCTCTCTCTCTCTCTCTCTCTCTCTCTCTCATTAAGAGATTGGAACATAGATGAATAGAAATGGACGGATGACACATCGCTAGCCTGCTTACTTATGTAGTACATGCAGGAACAGTGCTAAAAGACATGATTAAGTAGGTCAGCTGCATCGTGCTTCATGTTCACTGCATACATTCTCTTCAGCATCCAGCCAAACACAATGTTCTAGTTACAATTAGAACTTTATTATAGTTTATATAATTTACAATTCATGCTGTGCAGACACACAAACGCACATGCTTGTAAATTATTTGTATATTACCAGGTACTTTAAGCAGAACATCTCTGAATAGACAGGCATTTGATTAGGTTTTCAATATTCATTATTAGTTCCTGGTTTAATCTTATTTATTTGGCATTTTATCAGCATTCCTTAATTGAATCATGATGCTGAATCAACAGTGTCAAGAACAAATTTCGAACAACATTGCCAGTTTTGCTCAACCATTTATCTAAACTGTTATCTACACTCATCCTGATTGATTACAATGTATGCACAGATGGACAGAGAGTGTTTTGGTTCATATGGAATGGACAGAGGTCTGACGGCTGACCCAATCTCTGACAGAACCAGCACCAGGTGCAATACACTGATTACGAGTCTCACAGGACTAAGGGGCCAGCAGGCCACCCAAAGGCCTCCATATGGCCACCAACTGCTCTCTGCAAGGGGGCTTTTCTGTCTCTGAATGATTTTTGCATGAACACTGTTATAGCCTGGAGCAACAACGTTTGAAAATAATGCATTCTCCAGTCCATACTTAAATTAACCTGCAAAACAGTCCATTTTGAATTCATTTCTTTAGAGAGCATTCAGGTAAACCATGTTAATATGGTACAACCCCATTTCCAAAAAAGTTGGGACACTGGGCAAAACATAAACAAAAGCAAAATCCAATGATGTGCAAATCATTTCAACCCTATATTTCGTTGAAAATAGTACAAAGACAACAACTCAAATGCTGAAGCCGAGACATTTTATTGTTTTTTGAAAAATATATGCCCATTTTGAATTTGATGCCAACAACACGTTCCAAAAAAGTTGGGACGGGGGCATGTTTACCACTGTGTTTCTTCACCTCTTCTTTTAAGAACACTCTGTAAGCATTTGGGAACTGAGGAGACACAGCTACTCAACAGTTCAAGGTCTGCTCTGTATTTTTCATTTTATAATGTGCCACATGTTTTCAGTGGTGACAGGTCTGGACAGCAGGCAGGCCAGTTTTAGCGCCCAGACTCTTTTAACATGACGCAATGCTGCTGTAATACATGCAGAATGTGGTTTGACATTGTCTTGTTGAAATAATCAAGGCCTTCCCTGAAAAAGATGTCGTCTGGATGGCAGCATATGTTGCCAAAACACGTCTATATCATTCAGCATTAATAGTGCCTTCACAGATGTGCCAGTCACCCATGCCATGTGCACTAATGCACCCCTATACCATCATGGATGCTGGCTTTTGAACTGTGTGCAAATAACAAGCTGAGTGGTCTTTATTCTTTAAAAAGAATTTCAAATGTTGATTCGCCGGACCTCATTTTTCCACTTCGCCCCAGTCCATTTTAAATGAGCTCAGGCCCAGAGAAGGCAGCGGCGTTTCTGAATTCTGTTTATACATGGTTTCTTCTTTGTGTTTAGGAATTTTAATTAGCATTTGTGGATGCAGCACCAAGCTGTTTTCATAGACAGTGTTTTCAGAAGTTTTTCTGAGCCCATGCAGTGATTTCCACTACAGAATCATGTCTGTTTTTAATGCAGTGCCTTCTGAGGGCCTAAAGGTCATGGCCAGCAAATACTGTTTGTTGGCCTTGTCCCTTGCATACAGAGATTTATGATTGTTTTTGGTACAGAAAACCATTTAGATGTCATAAGTAGACCTCAGGGGGGAAAATAGCTCACTTCAATTAGCTCAGTTGGTTAGAGTGTGGTGCTAAAAACGCCTAGGGTCCCTTTTCAATACTTTTTTTTGAACATGCCCTCACCAACTTTGACTCATCACTTAGATGTGTGTCACTCATGGCAGAAGGAGAGGAAGGGACAGAGAGGAGAAAATTAAGCACACTGCCCCTCAGCAGGTCAGCCTCAGTGAGCTAAAGGGCTAGCCATGCAAATTTTTTCATTCAAACCAGTTTTTTTGTTTTTTTTTTGAGAAGTTTGAACATAACGTATGGGCAGCACGGTGGCGCAGTGGGTAGTGCTGTTGCCTCACAGCAAGAAGGGCCTTTCTGTGTGGAGTTTGCATGTTCTCCCTGTGTCTGTGTGGGTTTCCTCTCACAGTCCAAAGACATGTGGTCAGGCCAATTGGACATGCTAGATTGCCCCTAGATGCGAATGTGTCTGTCTGTCTGCCCTGCGATGGACTGGTGACCTGTCCTGGGGGTATCCTGCCTTCCACCCAATGGCTGCTGGGATAGTCTCCAGCCCGCGACCCAGAAGGATAAGTGGCTTAGAAAATGTGTGTGTGAACATAACGTGCATAAAATGTGTGAACAATTGCTTTGCCTGAATATAAACTTGATGTACACCATGGCGCAGTTTGTTGTTGTTAGCCATGTAGCTTTTAGCAAGCTAACCAGCCATAGAGCAAAATGATGAAGCTGTATGAGCATTCATGTCTAAGACATATAGTGGTTTGCAACCTGAAGCCTATGCAGATCAAATGTTACAGCTTTGTGATCTAAAGCATTTCAAAGTAGTTTAGCACTATGGCTTATAAAAATATTTGTCTGCCGTTATTGGGGGATTTGAAAAGGAAAATGTATCAGGTCTCAGTGATTTCTGGGCAAGTTCTCTTGCTGCAGTTGACATTTATGTTCGCTCAATCTTTTGACTCTCTGAGGGCTCATCTAATAAACTTGAGCTAATAAAGAAAAGAACGGCCCCTCAAGATGGTGAAGTCATGTTAAAACTGGTAGTGAATGGGCTGTAGGTCACAGATTGGCTCCCCATATGGGCCACAAGCAGCAGACTGAGGTTCTGTGTCCTTGTGCAAGATTCCTAACACATTAAATTTACCTTTATCTGCTACATGAAAGGTAACAAGGTACGAAACTGTCACTTGGGGACAGTTACAAGGTACGAAACTGTCACTTGGGGAGTGCCCTTCTTGTCACTGGGGTAGCACCCTCAAAGGGGACATCTTAGTACCTTTAGTCAGGGAACATAATTGTACCATAATCCATTGAAATTGTATTTTTTAAGGTGTATTGACTCCACACACCCCGTCTCGTCTCCAGGCTTTTTATGTTATTGTTTTGTTTTAAAACATGAGGTAATGAAAAAATACAAATATATTCTTCTCCACTAGGAAAAACTTTTTCAAGATACACAATTGGACCTTAAAACAGCTGTGGTACCTTGGAGGGTACATTTACATTGTTTGTACCTTTATGAATGAAAATGTACCTGCAAGGTACCTTCACTTCTAAGAGTGTGCTTAAATTATAAATTTCTTTAGATAAGAATGTCTGCAAAATGCATAAACATAAAAAAACAAGAAGAATTTAGCATATGGACTCTTCAATACTGTTGTTTTCTGCAAATGTGGGCACTATGTAGCTTATTTTGTGTAGTATAGAAAGCCATACAAACATCCATCCTTAGCCCGTTTCTTGTTTTCTTTCGCTCTCTGGTTATTCTGCAGTGATTATTCAGTCATGCTCCCTCATAGCCTGCTAGTCGGCCTGCTTCAGAGTGTCGTTCTGTTTTGTCTTTGTTTGGCCTGGAGCTCAAAACACTTTCTGTCTCTCTTTCTTGTTAGCATAAAGCCTCCTGGCTGTAGGTCACCTTGCAGGCTAACACACTATTTGAATTCTTTACATAATTCAGCATAATCTCTCTGGCTAAAAAATTGCTCTGGCTTTGTCTTACGCAATTGACTTTTGCTTTGGTGCACAGGCGTCTGGCCCGTCTAAGGCAGAATCGGAGTAAGTCAGAGGCAGGCTTAGCCGCATGGGAACTGAGGGCGGCTCTGATGAGTGAAACAACAAAGCAGAACTCCTTTAACTCTCACAACACTAATAACTCTCGACATTAAAATACAATTAGAGAAATGTGGACAGATTTACAGTGGGTTAATTACATAATGCAAAAAGTGCATGAGTGTATGTGTGTGTATGAGCATGCGCATGTATGCTAGCATGCCTGTGTGTGCGTGTGCGTGTGTGTGTGTGCGACTGAGTGGAAACAGGGTCAGGGGAGGCTGGTTATCAGAGCAGAGAGACAGAAGGCAGTTTGCTGTGGGCAGGAGAAGCAGTCATACTCGTGCTCTCTCAACTTTGCCCAGCACTGCCATCCACAGTTCTCTCTCCCTCTCTCTCTCTCTCTCTCTCTCTCTCTCTTTAGTTGTTCCTTGCTTTTGAGCATTTCCATTCCTTGTTTTTGTTTCTTTCCATATCAGCCTCTCTTACTTATTTTATCTTAACATCTCTCTAATACATCTCTCACTTTTATTCCACGGCTGCATCTTTCTGTCCAGCTTTCTTTTGTTCTTCCTCCAGGACTAACAGGGGCAATCTTCAGGTTGCCACATGGAGTCACGGTATCATGGACATCACCCTCTCACTTCAACAAGGTGAGCATATCTTATTATTCTTACTCTTATGACTTACACAATAATTCTTTCCCTGCGCATTGCTAACAACATGAGACTTTTCAATCGTTTGGTTACTTAATTTTCCACTGTGTTACACTGCATAGCGCCTGTATCTTCATCCACATTTCCATCATTCACTTACGTCAACGTTTTTCCTTTTTTCTGTTCCTGTCTATAACCTTTTCGCTTGTATTTTTTTTCCATGTCTCTGCCTGTCTCATTCGATTCATGTCTCATCCTGCTCTCTCTCTCTCACTGCTGGCATGTCACCCTCTCTGAATCCTGTTCCATGCTGGAGTAACTAGTGCCTTTTCCTCTAAATTTTTAGAGTTTCCTATTTGAGCTGATTGCTACAGGTACTTTATGCACTTCAGTGCTATTGAGACTTATGTAAGCACATTTGAACGACCTGGAGTTATTTTCTCCATTTGAGGAATCGCTTCAGAAGCCTATCCTGAGGATGTAAAACCAATTTCTCTGAATGTGGTGGAGTAGGTAGAGGAGCATTAATGAGAAATGACCGCCAGCCTGTGAGGAGCTCGAGATTTAGATCACTTGAAAGCCATGACCTAGAGGCACATTGACAGGATAGACACCATTTATGTTCTCCAACAGTGACAGAAGAGAAAGAGTTGTATTGTATTGCATGCAGAACTCATTTACATACATAGAATTCGTTTCAGACATGGCATTATAAAGACACTGGAATATCTGACCTAAGGCAAAAGCAAAGTGCAAAAGTGAAACTTTTAATAGCATATCTCTGGGTCGCTAGAGACTTGTGGAATTAACAAATACAAATATATAAAAATTGTAGTTTTACTCTGTTGTGGCAGTTTCTCAATCACTTTGTTTTAGATATAAGTGCCGGGTCACCAACAAGCAAATTATGTACAAACATTTGGCGAAAAATTAGAGTGAGCTTTAAATATCTCTAAAATCAGGTTGTTTCATGTTCTTGTCCTTCGTAAGCCTGACCATGCCCTTCATGGCGTGGATGAAGTGGCCTTATGGGGAAGGTGAGCAGGGGCCAAGCTGTGTGGCCCCCGGGGGCCCCGGCCGTGTGCTGCTGCAGGAGCTCCTCTGGCAGTTAGAACAAAGAGAGCAGCAGGCTTTGGAGGAAGAGCTGCAACATCGCTTTTCCCACAGCAGCAGTCTGGCTTACCGACGCCCTCTCGCCCGGCCCAGCTTGCTCGCCCTGATGCCGGCCTCTGAGTGCAGGCAGCTGGAGCGCCTCTGTGCCCGCATCCCACCCTCACACACTGCTACCGTCCTCTCCAGGTACGCATGTGTGTGCACATGTTAATAACTGTATTATGTGTATAAGCTCAGAATGTCAACATAAGTACAGTTGAAGGGCCTGTATTATGGAAAATGACTTTTCCTTGTTTTTGCTGAAATAGAGGAGTTTGATGTAACCTTTGATGTAAAATTATATAATGTCCTTTTTACTCCCCACTGTATATATGGGAGCTAAACTGCCAAACAGCCTGTTTTAAAATTCATCATGGTTGTGATGTCACAGCTATGGACACATTCATATGTGACCGCCTATGCAGGGTGCATCACTTTAGCCAAAGTAATTACTGTTGTTACTGCAGACATTCTGTAGTTATTGGAGCAGAAGATGTGGGGGAAAACACAGCTTTCGAATGATGTGCTATTGTTGGCTGTCAGGGTGCAAATGAATCATTTCAACCTTCCAAATGATCCATATAACCAAAAGCAGTGTCTGGGGTCAATTTTTTTTCCACAACCCTGTAGATTTCTGTTTAAGCTTACCAGTTTGTTTCGTGTTTCACCACATTTTTAAAGGGGGATTTCACCACATTCTGCCTAATTCAATAGTTGGGATCTAAACAATATCATTCAGAGTGTTTTAATGTGAAATTGTTCATTGTAGAGAAACCTAACAACTTACATTTCTTTACAGTGGTGGTCATAGGAACCGGGGTCACAATAACCATAACGTAAATACAGCCATTTTATTTACTATCTAAAACCAACAGTGACCCTACATGTACCTTCTGAGTTTTTATTTATAATGTTGATAAATAAATAGTGGTAAACAGTGGTAGGTCCGAAAGTATGCCTTTTATTTGGGGACTATGTTGCATGTACCTCTCCACCATGAATGGATTTTTAAAAAGACAATTTGGGGCAAAATCTTACCTCAAAACTATCATAAAACACTCTGTCTCACACATCAGACAATGTTAATTTTTTTTTTATAACCATTTCATAAATTACCTTTATGTGAAGAATTTTTTAGAGGCATTAAATGGTTCAGATGTCTGGTTCCCATCACCACCACCATGAACAATTCTGAATCTAATTTTACATTTTTGGTATAATTCTTTCAATACCGGGAAGCCAATCAGAACTGTAGTCATTTACATATATCTGTCTTAAAGACAAGTGATAAAAACAGTCTGATTAACTGAAAGGGACTAAAAGAGGCTTGAGAATGATCATGAAAACATTTTAGAATATGGGCCTGCCTTAGCATATCGTTATTAAAGACATCTGACTAACTCTTTTAATAATGTTATTTCAAGGTTCCGTGAGATTCTGGCTCACAATGACATCCTTCCCTGGGAGCTTGTGTGCATCTTCAAGCAGGTGCTGAAGGACTTCCTGAGAAGGCAGGACGAGTACAGGCGTCCGCTCCCTCTGCCCCCGCCAGCACTACTTCCCATTTCTCCTTCTCATGCAGAAAGCAATGGCAGCACCCGACCTTCGAGGAAATCGCCTTCTGCCACACCCTCACCTGAAGGGCAGGAGAGGCATAGAGAGGAGATCCCCACCATCTCCAGCTATGTGGACAGGCATTTGCGCAGCGCCTGCCCTTACGCTGTCCAAAGAGACTGTCTGCCCTACTGCCAGTCCTTGCCCTACGACTGCCCTGAAGCTTACAGCACCACTCTGTGAAGGGCATAAATAGCTCAGAGAAACCCTAGTGACCACTGTGTCCTTCCTCTGTGCACAATCACCCCTTGGACTCACACCCAGGACTGTAGTAATGAGAGCAAGCCAGTAGTATGAGTCATTGTACAAACAAGAGCGAGGCGTGGGTATGTTTTTTAAATATTAGGAACTGGTTTTCCAGTAATGGATCATAGTGACTCACCAAACAGGGTTATGAACTGGACCAAGGTCTAAGAAAGATTTATATACAGATTTGAAATTAATACAGTCTATTTAATTAAATGCAGAAGCCAATTTGTTGCTTTGTATTACATTCCACTTTTAAACTAAATGAAACTTTTGCAAAGACTTTGTATACGCAAAAGTCAGAGACCACCCTTCATTTATTTCATTTCTCAGAAAATGATTCATATTGCAGCATTGGCAGACACTCTTATCCAGAGCAACTTACAATTTGATCATTTTATACAGGTAGGCAGAAGTACTTTTAGGAGTCTTGCCCAAGGAATCTTATTGAAATAGCTTAGGGTTCTAGCCCAGGCTGTGGATTGAACCCCTGTCTACAGTGTAGAAGGCAGAGAGCGTTGCCCACTACACTATACCTAACTCTCCCCAATGTCAGGAAAATAGCAGAAATCATGTATTTAACAGAAAATTACGCTGGATTACAAACAATATCACATTCTTTAATATTTTGTTTGTCAACCCTTGCCCCTGTTATAGCTTACATTCTTGAGAAACATGCACTTAGTTTTTCAAAGATACATGCAAGGATATTTGTCCACATCTCCAAAGTTCAGTCTTAGAAGTTGGTTGCATTTTCTGCTTCTCACAATCCAAGTAATCCCAAACACATAGAGTGATGTTAAGATCTGGACTCTGGGGTGGTCGGTCCATTGTTTTGCATACACTAGTGACCTCTATGTTTGATTTGCAAATATTACACATCCCCATGGCATTGAATCGGCTTCTCACAGTGGAAGGATGGACAGAAACTCCTGTGGATTTTTTCAGATCTGAAGCAAGAGTGGAGCTTGATTTTCTCTTGAAGATGAAAGATTTATCTGATGGTGAGTTTTGGTGGTCCACTGGGTCTCACACAGTTGTCAGAAGTTCGATTTTCTCCATATCTTTTAATACTTCAATGTTCGAAACTCCTCCTGAAAACTGCTTATGCAAATTAATTATTTGTACTTAATCTCCTCAGAAATATGTCCTTAATAACTTGCACTTAATGACTATTTTGACTGGAAACTAAATAAATGAAAGGTGCATGGCCTCTGACATTTGCACAGTACTTTATGTCAAATATTTTCTTGAGAAATGAGAGTTCGGTCTCTATATGCATAAATGTACACATGCATCCCAAAGAGCAGGAACTTGGTGTGGATGGGGGGAGAAAACTGTGAGCAACACAAACATGAGCACACAATAGCCCTGCTTAATCTGCCTTGTTTACAGTTATGTTTCTGGATTAGAGAGCAGAGATTAGCCTGCAGGCAAAGAAGAGCACAGCTCTGTTTATGCCTCAGTAGATCTTCCTCTCTGCATGCAACCCAAGAATTATTTAGCAAGCTTTGTAGTTCACAGAATACTGTCATGTGTGTACACCAATGGTTATACCTGTCCCTTTTGTGTAGAGGATAGGTGGGCTATAATTATATCTACAGGAGGTCTAGAATTGCAAATTAAGAATGCATAGGACAACAAGGATGTCCAGGCAATGCTAAAGAGCCATGGGACCTTCTTCTTTTATTGTGGAACACCAGCAGGCCCAAACAGAGTGTGCTTTTTTGTACTAGCAAAATACTGTAGACTGCTACTCAAAAGCCCACTCTTAGTCACTTGTCATTTTTTTGTCTAATAAATTGTCTGTTTTATTGTAAATGAATGAACGTAGACCAAACACTGCTACTATTCAGCAAATGCTATATGCATTTTGTAATTCTTCAAGCTTGTGTTTACCATTTTTGATGCCTTGACTGAATTATCGGATAATTTAAATAAAGCGCAAAAAATAATTTGGTCAGACTCATTGAATATAAAGCTATGAAGAACCACAGTTTGACAAGTGAAAAAGTGGAAAGCAGATTTATTAGCACAGTGTGGCGTTTCTTAATCAGACTCTTGGAGACTCAATGCCCTGCAGAGATTCAACTATTTCTTGCCTCAGCACACCGGATCCAGCTCACCAACCGGTTATCAAGCACTTCATTAGTTGGATCAGGTGTGTTGAGGCAGGGAATAGTTGAAAATGTGTAGAACAGTGAGTCTCCAGGACAAGGATAAGAAACGCTGGTAGTAGTGTGAGACTATCTAATTACATGCATTTTTGGTTATAGTAAAGGTTCTGGTTTTAGTTATAGAGGAAACCACACATAATACAGACTATTTGATCATTTTTATTCAAGAAAATGATGCTGCCCTTTTTACTGTTACCAACCTGGTGGGCCGGATTCCTGCACAGTTCGGTGATATCCTTGTTCAAATACACCTGATTCAAAGGTTAGGTGGAGTGTCAGAGCAGGGAAAACACCAAATTGTGCTGGACCCCTGCTGTCTGACCCTCAGTTCCCCCACCCTTAATGTTTTCTCTGGTAAACCGTTTCAGTTTTTAATCCAAAGTTTCTTGATTTTGAGCAGATAATATTACATTAATACAAGTAAAAGTAAATATATAAATAAATAAATCTGAAATGCAAAAAGTCAAATTCTAAACGTCCATTTTACTAATAGGAATTATCTTACATTAGATTTCATCGCACTAGTAAGATTTTTTTTAACATGATTATTCAAAAGAGAAGTTTAATTTGGAGAAATTTTAATTATGTGCTTAAATTTATTTAGTAAATTGTTACATGAACAAATTCTATTCTTACATGCATGACATACATCGTTCTTAATCTCAGATTTTGTTTAATCTCAGTAAACACCGCCATCTTGTGGCTCAGTAAGAAATTTCATCAATTGTGGAAAACTACACAACATTTTCTCCAAAAATAGAAATAAAATGTTTTCGTACGTAAGAGACAGCTAATGAACTGTGTAATAAAATGTGTGCGACCCCGCTGTTCATTGCAAAGACGTTATTGATTTTGCAATTTTCTAATGCGAACTTTTATTTTGGCGTTTCTGAGCTCGGTTAACCGGAACGCCACTTTGCTCTTCCAGTGCATCTTTCGGCTCACAGCAGTCGGCGGTGAACAGTGACCTTCTCGGGCAGAGCACAGCGATTAACACACACATTAGAGGTGAGTCGCTGCAGTTCAGTCTCGAAATTAATTCACAGTGCATTACATTTTCCTCAGAATGCCTTAAACATTTGAAATGAGTGAAGCTGTTGTGTCTGGATTAAACCTTGTCTTTAACAGTTCTTACTCAGTCGAGGCCTTAGCGAGCTAATGCTAACTCAGTGGACCGAGTGAGCGGAGGGGATGTTTGTTACTAACACACGATAGACAGAGTAACTTCAGTCTGAAGACACCGTTTATTTGACTCTTGTCATTGCGGAAAACCAACAGTTTAGTCCAGTACACTCGGGCGTTTTACTGTGAAAAGGCTGTTCAGTTGGCCTTTCTGTGGTTTTGTTGGCAACGAACTGCTAAGCTATGTTAACGTTACATGGTTTTCGTCCTTCAGCAGTCGTTGTGTAGCTTTAAGAATTAAGCTACAAAGGTTAAATAGACACTTTAGCTATATGCAGCTTATTCTTCTACCACCAAATAACAGGCTTAAACGCATTTTGTTTCAAAAATATTTTTGTTGTTTCAGCGATGTAGCCCACATTGCTAAAATTAAGTGTTTACCCCCTGTCACCTTAGCCAGAGTCTCTTCAAAGAGAGCTGATCCGTCTATTACTGAAGAACATTTTAATTACCATTTTCATTGAAATTTCATTAGCTACCAATATTAAATATTACATGATAATAAAGAGAATAATGAAAATATCAAGTGCTACACAGTATTACTCACTAACTAGAACTGGTCACCAGTTTACAGACACTGCACTTTTGTGTCTTGTATAATGATCGTGTGGCACTGTACTATAGTAAGTTTATCTGGGTATCAGTATCGGGCTGATATCAGCAGAAAATGCTGGACCAGCTATCTGAGGGAACAAATTAATGAATTTGATCCAGTCCTGCAACAAATCTAGGCCCAGTAGAGCACATTCACACCATGAAATGTCATGTTAGATGTGTATTTATTTCTGTGGGGTTAGTGGAGTATTTGTGTAGATTTATCATGATAGCCTATTTGTCGATGCTCATCTTAAGTGAAATGCGTCAAATATAACTCATTTTAAAATTCTGTAGAGTATAATGCAAAAATATCTGCTTTGTGCGCTAAAGTTTAAGTACTGGTATTGGTAAAGGAAAAAGTGGCATTATGCCGTCTCCACACTATACACACACATTAATCTCAGAAGTGTCCTCCAGATGTTGCTTTTGCTTTAACTTCGTATCTCATACTGATTGGTCATTTACAGAGAGCAGAAGCTGCTGTAGATTTCTTTCTGATCACTTTCTACAACTGTCTCTACTGGTCACTAGATGGCAGGTGGTGTATTTGCTGGCTGGTGGACGAAGCTAGGGCCTTACTACTCCAAGGCATACCAGGAGTTGTGGGTTGGTGTAGGAATCATGACTTACCTTTACTACAAAGTCTCCTATGGAGGTCAGTAATTTATATTGTGAGAAGAATAGTTTTGTCATTTTCATTCTGCCAAGTTGACCCTAGTCATAATTTTATTTCTACCTGTAATGATTGTTTTGTTTTGTTTTTTTCTGTAGGAAAGAAAGCAGTGAAGTCCAGTAAGTATTACGTTCTGTATTTTAATAAATAAGTGTTTTTGGCAAACCAGTAATAAAAGTACATAAGGCTTCCCTAGTTTATTTTATTTTATATTTTGTGTTGGGTAACTGTTTGGCACCAGCAGTCGCTCACTCAGTGAACTTCAAAGACCACTTAAAACACTGTGCAGTGGTTGGTTTTGTAACCTTGGGAAGGTCTGCAGTTTTGCCCTTGATTTCGTCTTCTATACAGTCTCCTAAAAAGTGTTTACCATATTTGTCACCAATTAATCATTTGCAGCTGATAGAGAGGCAAGCTCACTTGCTCCTCTATCAGCTGACCACTAGCCTAAAGAGTACCTTTTTTTTCTCCCTTAATTGTACACATTCTGATGATATTTTATCTGATCTGATTAGATGTTGTTTAGTAATTTAACTACGTCTTAATAGGGAGCTTAAAATTGATAGTAGTGAGGAATTCATAAATGTGTCCCTTGAACAGTTTGCCAAGAAATAACTTTTGCAAACTAGACCCTCCTTAGCGCATTAATGTGATTTAAAATCGATTTAGAAAGAATGTGTTTTGGGTGAGAGTTCATACAGTTTTCCAGAAACCTCACGTCATTTAAAGACACATTATTGTGGCAAAACATAATTGAAATCATAGTAGCAAACTTATTAAAAAAAAAAAGCTCACCTGCATTTGGAGGAAGAAAGTAATTATAGTTTATGACATGAATGCCTTTATGTATTTATGAACCAGATTATACAGAAGCAGTGGGGGTTCGTTTACATAGTTTTAGTCTTGTTGTACCCATGTATGACAAAATGTAGTCACTTGTAGCATAAATGTCTTCAGTGTGATGTGAATTCTGCCATTTGATGAGAGGGTTGCGATGTAAAATAATTTTATACAGTGTTTGGATAGTTTTAACATTTGAGGAAATGGAATTCGTTCCCTGACACTACTTGATTTGTAAAAGCAAATACCCAATATCTTCAGCAGATTAGTACTTGTATGCGAGATACCTGCATACTTGTATAATTCAGTGTTTTTCTGCTATTGTGATGCATAGCTACTTAGCTTAGCTTCATTAGTAATTCTTGGAATTCTAGGAGCAGCTTAGGTTTATTGCCGTACATCAACCATTGTTGATGTGGTGCTTGATGTCTTGGTTATAAGAAAGGCAGGTTTTCACAGTACCTTCTTGCCACAATAATACTTCCTAAATTATAGAGTAGTCTCTATAAGACTATAAGAATATAGAAAAATGCCTACACCACAGGCAGAAAAAACATGCATTATTGTAGTTGGCATTTTCAGTTATACGATTGTGAACTCAGGCATAACTGAGATCAAAGAAGACTTTTGAGCTTAGAAAAATCATCCTTATTGCATTTACAATAAATTTTACAATAATATTTCAGCTGCTAGCAATACAGAGCAAGTATATGGTTTGACTGACCAAGATTAATCACATCTACGTGTACACTGGGGAGTAAATGCAGCTGATGTAACCTAACAACTTCGGGAAATATTTTAATCAGTCTATGCTCCATACAGCTAAGCAGTGTCTCTTTGTGATGTAAGAGGGTTTGGGTTCAACAGTGAATTAATTACAAGCTTACTTATTTCCTCAGCAATAATACATAGTTGCTTCTGTAGGTAGTTTGATAAAGGCTAAAAAAAAATTCTTTTTAATTCCCATAGAACCTGCACACTGATCGGACCACCACATGATGTCGCCATTGCCCCATACCTGTGTAAATCTCTCCCAGAAGAGCTTCACTGGCACCAGGATGTTTGTGTATGTTTCTGTGAAATTAATAAAATGCTCTGTTTGGATCACCTAATGGACAATGTGGAATGTCTGTGTTCTTTTCATTTTGCCATGCAGGGAAACCTGTGATTTATTGTTCTAATCAGGGAAGACTAGAGGTATTACAGTTGTATTATGTATAAAATGTTGTTTGCCTGTACCTAAATAGGTGTTAATTGTTAGTTCTGGTACTAAAATATGGAGTCTGACATGAGTATTTGAGAATAATTAAGAAAAATGTACAATTGCAAAAACCTAATTCTGTATACCTGCTGAGACAGGCTTTTAGGATAGTGTGCTTAAAAATCTATAACCTTAATACATTGAAGTATATGGCTTTTGTCAGTGTTGGATAAACTTTTTACCAAAATACAGATTTTTTTTATTTTTTTTATTGCGTTTTATCATTCCAATCACATAGTAGCACACTTCAGATAGTTGTTTGAAGACTGGAATCGTGTGTACTTCTTACTGGCACATACTTTGTTTCACTCTGATGAATCAGATAACTAATGTTAATTTAAAAGTTTACATGAAGCTTACTGTGATTTAACAGTACACAACCAGCAAGCCAGTCCATTCATTAAATCACAGAGTGGATAATTGGAAGGTAATAAACCTCCATGCATTTTTTTAAACAAGCACTCTTATGGTGCATCTTTGAATATTTAATTTTCCCATTTTGTAGTTTGTTCTTACAGAGTTTTTCCACCTATGCACTATAACAAGTTTAAATTCTGTGAGTTGTAGCAAATGGAGGCTTCATAATAACTGATTGAGTACGCTGGGGCAGAGTCAAATACACAACATGGCAAAAAGTCTGTGCACCCTTTCTGATTTGTGGGTTTGGTTACTACAGCCATGCTTATCACTAACGTGCCTAAAATGAAGCATTCCACCATGCAGTTTCTACAGACAAATGCTGGGTGTAGAATGGGTTATACTGAAGAGTTCAGTGACTTCAGTGACTTACAACATGATACAATGACAGTTTGCCAAATTTCTGCCCTGTTAGAACTGCTTCAATTGTAAGTGTTCTTGTGAAGTGGAAACATCTAAAGCAAAAACTGAAACCGTAGCCCACTCAGGCTTACAAAATGGGACTGTCGATTGTTGAAGGACTTATAGCATGTAAAATTGTCTTTCCTCTTTTGAAACACTCACTCCCAATTTCCAAACTACCACTGGAGGAAAGACTTGGGTTTCCTGTAGTCAATGCCACGCATCAGCTGGAGTGGTGTAAAACATCACTGCTGGAATCTGGACCAATGGAAGCATGTACACTGGAGATGAAGCATGCTTCACCAAGTGGTAGACAATTCTGGGTTTACTGGAGTAAATGCTTCCTGCCTCAAATATTTTTCCCCTTTCCGGTGATGATAAAACCTAATGCTGCAGCATACAGTGACATTCTAGAGCAGGGGTGCACAGATTCGTTCCTGGAGGGCCAGTGTCCAGCACATTTTGCAGATTTACCTGCTCAAATGCATTTGATTACACTCACCAGTTAATTGCCATGTTTATTGGGTATTTTTGAATAGGGAAACTACCAAACTGTGCTGGACACTGGCCCTCCAGGACCAGAGTTCTGCAGTAGCACACCTGATTGCTTAAATCTTGGTCTCAAGTTTTCAAACAATTGATCGCATGCACTCCTCCTTTGTTGAAATAACAACCTGCAGACCGGCCTTTTTTCATTTAAGACTGGACACTCCTGTTCTAGAGCATGTGTCAGACTCCAGTCCTGGCAGGCCACAGCACTACAGACTTAAGAGGTCTAACTCAACCTTGTGGCTGTATTCCCCATATAGCCACGTTCCAAAATCTACCTTTCCAGAAAAGTGGAGGCTGTTTATAGCAGCAAGCTCCCTACTAATGCAAGTGGTTTTGAAATTAGATGCTCACACTTTTGGAAATGTAGAGTAGAGACCAATGACTGATTGCTTTTCTTGGTTAAGCAGCCTCCTTTCAGATCACCCCTCACGATTGTCAGAGGGATCTGCTTCACGACAAAGACCAGCTAAGGCTGTGTGAGGGTCGTTTGTTCAACACAGCATGTACTTTTTTGTTAATTCTGTAAATAAATGATTGTGTTACGGCGGCTACCAATGTATCCTGTGTATCTGTAATTGTTCACTTTATTTACTGCCGAATTAAAGTCGGTACAACAGAAAAACGTGCCACTGTCCAAATGACATGAGCTCGTCGCTTGTATGAGTGAGAAAGTAAGTGTTGTTAAGTAGCTACATGCAATCACATTTCTCTACAACCGTATTTCTCACAAAGCTTAAAGTTATAGTGTGTTTACAGATGTAATATATGGATTGAAGGAGTAATAGTTGTGAATTAAGTTAATCCTTAGGATGGTTTAATCTGAGCGCCACACATTCCTGGCATTCCATGCAGACGTGTCGTGACATCATTTTACTACACCAACAAACGGGAGTGTGCTGTGTTTGCTTCTGCGGCTCCCATGCTATTCCGTTGGATAAAGCAAATTTCGTATCTCGCGTCGTCGTTGTTCTTTTAGAAGACATAATTCTAGTAGACCAAAGGCAGTGACAGTGTAGTCCGTTTCGGTTATCCAGGCAAGGTCCGCTGGTTTGCTGGCGAACGGGTTGGCTAGCTGGTGGTTAGCCTGCTGCTAGTAGCCTTCGAGATTTCTCCCTGCTATCAAGCCAAGCAATACGTTTGTATGTGTTTTTCCGTGCCGTCACAGACCAAGGATACGAGGTTTACGGTTAAGAGGATTCCTGCAGGTGTCCTCGAGTGACTTGTAAGTAGAAACAGAAATTTAATTTGACATTGTGTGGTTCTATTAGTTTATTTGTATGAACAGCTCCGTAGCTGTTTTGTTCAGGTTACAGTACACTGCCTATTGCGCTTGCTAGCCAAAAAGGTCTGCTGAGCTAACGTTACATCGCTCCTGTCGAGCAAAGCTATGCTCTGTAGGTTAGATATAATTTCAAATTTTTTTGTTTGAATGCGCAAGTAGTTGAGTGTTTTGGGTTATCCTCTGTTGTAAAAGTCAGTTTAGGTCGACGTTGCCGGTTTAAATCGAACTAGCAAGCTAATGGTAGTTGGCTAAGGAAGCAGGGCCACGGCGTTAGCTAGGTTACCCTAAGGTAAGTTACTGCTGTGTTGTGGAATAGCTGGATAACGTTAGTTTACGTCGCTTATTAAATTCTGTCTAACGGCTTAACAAGGCTAGCTATCTGTGATTGCTCTGCAGCTAAGCTCCTGTTATTTTTTTATTTATTTTTTACAAGCGGTGAGGTGTATGTCTTATCTAGTTGGTAAACGGTTAACAGCACCTGGCTAACCTTATAATGCCCAAGTTGACCAGTGGCCCACTTTGCTTACTAGCGGCTCAGTCCACTTCATTCGCAGTTTTAGCTGCAGCGTGTGGTCACGCAAGCGTTTTGAATCTCAGTAAAAGCTGTTTCTTTCTGTTTTCTAGAGGAACCCCGATGATCTCTGGTTGGACTTGTGCAAGTGAGAGGGGTTGAGGAGGAACGTAAAAGCAAAGCAGTTTTAAAAGTCCTGATGTTACTCTGACGCTTGGAAAAATGATGCCAGTAAGTATAAATACTCTCTTAACCTGCGTTGCCACATGAATATGTGTGTGTGTGTTTATTTGTGACACAGTAGGGGACGTATTTAAAATCTCCGAGCCTTTTTTAACTGGCAGTATCAAGTGTTCAGCCCATAGTGATGTGTGAAAGGGAAACAGTTGGCAGTGATTTGCCACAGTCTCTTCCGAGGCTAGCAGTGTATGAACCATTGCTTTTGTTAATGGAGACTGGAGACTCAAAGGAAGCATGTGCTTTAGTGGTTTCAAGGTGTGATATCCTCCCCTTTGCTTTCTTCTTTCAGAAAGAGATTAAAGAAGAGAAAGCCTTGTCTTGAAAGAAGATTATCTCAGATTTACGCTAGACTGCCCCCCTGCGCAAGTCCACAGCAGGTCATTAAGTCATTGAAAAATGTCTCCACCTAAAACAGACCACTGTTTTTCTGTTCACAGTCCTGTGCATTTAAGCTATTAACTGTCCTAGCAAAAGAAACTCCTGTTGACCTCAAGATAAAGAGACGCCCCTTCCTCCACCCTGACACTAATGACAGTAATTAGTTTTATGATACTTATGATTAGAGTGGGACGTGGTATGTGTTGTCTTATGCTGAATGAGTGGATAATTTTAGCGATCCTAGGTCAAGAATCATTGAGACTATTAATGTGTAATGTGGACAGAACTGTTCAGAGAAAAACTTGTTGGAATATTATATTGGAACTTGCAGAGTGAACAGAGTGGTTCAGTGTGGAGGCAAATTGGAGCCATGACTTTAGATTTGATTAAGATTTCTGTTTTCATTTAATTTATCTTTAAAAACTATGTGAAATATTTGACAGCTTTCAAATATGTAGTGTAAATAAATATATAGTAGTGTAAATTGGAAACTCAGTGTCGTATATGATTGTCTGTTTTGTATTTGTTTTGAGGCTGTAATAAAGAAAGCATATGTATTCAATTCTTGGGTATTATCATGCCGGAAAAAAATATGGTATGAAGGAGGCATGAAATGTTTTTAGCATCCTTAATGGAACTGCTGGCATTTTCAGGTGCAGACAGGTGAATTGATGTGAGGTCATACATTAACTCAGATGGAATCTGTATGCATTAAACATTAACCTTGGTGAATTCTTCCAGAGCTTTTATATTATTGTAGAGTGGATTTTGACACTAATCTTGATCCTAAACCTATTCTTGTAGCCTACTTATAGGATATACATGAAGGAGATGTTTTACCTACAGGACTGTGGAGCAGGCTTAATTGGCCTGGACTGACCAGTCGGTTATAATCCCCGGCTAAACCTGGAACAGTTATCTAACCTAATCTTTATAGCCTAGTGCTGAGGCGCCACTCAGATGTGTGGCTTATCTCCTGTCTGCCTAATTGAAGGAAAACAAAGAGATTTAAAGGCACATAGCTGATCACACATTTCCTTTTCCGTATAAATATTCTATAGGAGTCCATACCTGAGGTCTGAGTTGGAGAGGTGTTCAAGAACTAATCATCCAACATCAGTACCAGACCTCACTAATACTCTTATGGCTGAGTGCAATCAAATCCCCACAGCAGTGTTTCAACATCTAGTGTAAAGTGTTTCCAGAAAAGAGGCGTCAGTGAAGCTAAAACCTTTGTTCCCTATGTGCAGAGACCAAACCTATGTATTCTGTTGCTTTACTGAGTGGAGGACGTTTAGCTGAGAGATGCTTTTTTGAGTGTAATTACAGCAACAAGATTTTCTTTGTCTGGCTTGTCATTAAAGGAGAGCCATATGGAGTGAGAGAAGGAGAATGTTGGTGTGGTGGGGTTCAACTTGGGGTCAGCTCTGGATGTCTTACAACCTCCTACTGAGAGAGCAGGTCCACTAACTGACACACGTGCAGATGTCCACATTGTATTCATTCTGGATAACCTAAGGAAAGTGTCTGTGAACTTTGTGTAGAATTTGTGTAGAAAACGGTTATGGTGTTGTAATTGTTATCACACTTCACTGCTCTCTGAAGTCTGTAGTATTTTAGGACCTGTTTGTTTTATTCTTTTGTGTGCAAAGATATGAGAGAATCATGATGGTAAGCTTCATGCCGGACAGTCAGCTTTCTAAAAACATTGATTTTTAACATTAATTTTATCTCCCTTTGAATGAATGTAATGCCTTAATTTTTGCATATTGTGAGTAAAGGGCATGTTGTGTGAGAATTTGCCGGTTGCCAATAATTTTCATGCAAAAAATCTACCCATTTTCAATTTTGTGCACCGCTGCTATAGGTTTATCTCACACAGCCACTTTTGTGTTGAAACTATGTGATACTGATACTTGCACAGGTTTCTAAACATAGTGAAGCAGATATCAGTCTTCCGTAGTGTAATTTTATGCTGTTTTAGAACAAACTGGTTATTATAACTCTGAGCCTTACTGATCAAAGTGTGATTGACCCAGTGGCTGCCTTCCCACAATCAGCTGCCCTGCATGGCAAAGGTCTTTCTAGGTCAGTCCCTGATAAAGGCCTCAATGGAAGCTTCATCACAGCAGCCATTCAGCATGACCTAGATTGCTGTCTCGTGCTGGGATTGCAGAAGTGCATGATGGGAAATACCTACATACTGTATGAATTGCCTACCAGCTATTTGTTTAGAAAAAGCAAGGAATGTACATGCATGCTTGGAAGCTTGAGTGTAGTATTTGCACACATGCATTGTTGTTTGAATCTCAGATTAAATGCATAACATGCAGGGCTGACTCAAAAGGAGGAAAACCTTTACCACACCTTTTTGTCTTAATCGCTGTATGTGTACAGTGTTGTACTGATTCTCTGAAACTTTACAATAGTAAAGCTCTTTTCCAGCGATGCTGTGGAATCTCTTAACAAGTAGCTGACAGAGTGCCAGCAAGACTAGCCGATAAGTGATGTTTACTCCACAGACCTGCAGTGCCAGTTAATAACCACCGGGGGTAAATCCAGCAGATCAGTTAAATGGGCCCAGTGGTGGCGATTAAACAGAAGCACTGTCTAACTAGGATTGTCATGATACTAGAATTTTCACTTTAATACCAAGTGTAGTACCACAAAACTTTGTAACAAAATGTTAATATGGAAAAAATTACATCATCAGACTTCCCAGTTTTTATGTAGTTTAACCCAGAAAGATTCAAATAGTTTAATTTTGCCAATAAAAATATAGCATATTGCCTGATATTTATTAAACTGTATAGAAAACAAGTAAAATATGCATATTGTAAGTCACTTGTAGGCAGAATACAGTGTGAAAGTTAATATAGTATTAATAAAGCACTGAATATTTTTTTCTGTTTTCATATATCTGCCTATATTCAACCCAATGAATGAAAATGCACCCAATTCGTTCTCTGTTTGCTCAGATGTAAACATTTGTGATTGTGAAAGCTAACCGCTGGGAACATTTTTGCAGGGAGCTTAAATAATTGCAATCAGGCTGTTATGTAATAGTTGACAGGCCTATTGTGAGGTTAGTCAGGAACTCTGTCCAAGCTGAATGTGCTTTGTGAGACGAGCCCCAGGTGAGGGTGTATGGGATATGTTTATGACCTGACTGTGAAACTGGTTTTGACCAAAAGTGTAGCCGGCTTGTGTATAGATTCCTATTGTGTATAGTGTGTAATTTTACAGGACGTTAAGACCATCTGTAACTACTACTGCACTAGAATGGTGTTATGTTTATGAAATAAACCAGATTTCTCAGGTATTGTGTAATTGCTATTCTTAACTTTTGATTAAAGGCAAGAGAGAGACCTCTTTTAGTTAGTTTTAAGTAGATGACAGCTGTGTTTCAGCATTTAACCTTGGTATCTAAGATGCAGGGTAGAAAAATCGGGTACATTTTGAAGAAAATCAAAAGTGCAGAAAGTTTTGTTGTTAAGAACTTTAAGTAACCTCAGTGTGCATGATTGAGACAGTGACAATACTGCTATTCATGTGATGGAAAGCACTTTCTCAGAAACGCCTCTCTTGTGCCATTGGTTTTGTAGTAGTGTTTTGTGGCATTCTGTTGTTGTATTTGTGGCTCTTTGTGCATGCGCATATTTGCCCAAGAGTTCTGTGTATTGATATGGTATCTGATATGGCAGTGTCATGCAAGAGGTGCCTGGTTTAATTAGTATTGATTGTGATTGAGGCTGTGTCCATGCTCCGTTCTACAGAGTTCAGTCACTGTACACCCCAGAGAAACGCTGATGATTTGCAGTGAACATGCTGCACAGCGATGCACAGTCTCTTAATTGCAATTCATAATTTCACCAATCAGGATCAAGGACTGTTTGACATAATTGTAAAATGTTGTAATTTTTACTATATATATACCTGGATTAGCATTTATTTTGACGATTAAGTAAACAAGTTTTTTAAAAAAGACTAAATAATACAAATGTACTAAATTAAATCTTTGCCAACTATGAATAGCCTTTCAAAGATTCAAAAGTATAATATTGGAAAAAGATAAAGAGGAAGAATTCTTTTAAAAACACTGAGGCAAAAGAGCAAATAAATGATTGCCTGTTAAGATATTTTTTGCTGCAAGAGGGACAGATTCATGGAGATCATTTTAATAGATTTTTGTAATTGAGTTTAATCAAATTACCCTCATGATATTTGTTTTAGTGTTTGTTGATCTACAGGCATGCTAGATCTGTTTCCTTCTAAGTCTTTAAAATTGTATGTTGTGCACGTCCATGTTTTTTTAAAGACTGAGTTTGAATGCTTAGTCATGCCTTGTAATCTGTTTAGGCATTAGTCTTGTCTGATTTTTGTTTTTGAATTTAGATGCACTATCTGTCTGGAACGCTCCATCCGTCCGTTGAAGCCGTGTCATTCTCATGATATCTCCTCTTGACCTCAGAGCAGCCAATGAAGTTTGCAGAAGTGCATTGAACAACCAATGAGCTTGAGTTAGGGACACATGACCAGGCTGTCAAAATGTTCAGTGTACATGGCACAGTGCTATGGCTTGTGCCCTGCAGCACTACAGTGCCATCAGTGTC